GCACTGAAGAGCTAAATTGGATGTGTTCTAAGCTAGCGTTATTTGTATAATCATGAAACTTTCAACTGGGATTTTCAAAGGGGCCTGGGGGAGTTAGGTGCCCAACTCATATTGAAAGTCAATGGGAGATGAGCACCTAACTCCCATATGTCCCATTTGAAAATCCCAATCTCGAGTAATTCAAGCCCCGATTCAGCAAAGTATTTGGGCATTTGTGCAACTTTAACCCTAAAAGTAGTTTATCGAGTTAAGTGGGATTATTCATGTGTTAAAAATTATGCCTAAGTACCTTGCTGAATCGGGGCCTTAGCTGGCGTGGGGGCAACGTCTAGTTCCAAGTGCATTGAGGCTCTACTAAGATGCACAGGGTTCCTGCCTCCCCCTTGGACTCATTGCCTGTTGCTGATACAAACGTCTTTGCCCAGCAGCTTTGCTGGTGGAGATCCAGTCAGTACTGAGGAAGATTGTCAATAATCCTTCTTGTGTTTCAGATTTCTTTTTCTTCTCCATTGTAGTGAGCACAAGTGCCTGTGGACATGTATGAGTGTGAATTTGCTAGTGCTCGAACAGTTATATTAATCTGTTAGAATCATAGATTTGTAGGTCCGGAAGGGACCTTGAGAGATCTTCTAGTCCAGTCCCCTGCACTTATGGCAGGGCTAAGTATTATTTATACCAGTGGTTCTCAAAGCCAGTCTGCCGCTTGTTCAGGGAAAGCCCCTGGCAGGCCGGGCCGGTTTGTTTACCTGCCGCGTCCGCAGGTTCGGCCAATCGCGGCTCCCACTGGCTGCGGTTTGCCGCTCCATGCCAATGGGGGCTGCGGGAAGCAGTGTGGGCCGAGGGATGTGCTGGCCGCCCTTCCCGCAGCCCCCATTGGCCTGGAGCGGCAAACCGCAGCCAGTGGGAGCCGCGATTGGCCGAACCTGCGGACGCGGCAGGTAAACAAACCGGCCCGGCCTGCCAGGGGCTTTCCCTGAACAAGCGGCAGACTGGCTTTGAGAACCACTGATTTATACCATCCCTGACAAGTGTTTGTCTAACCTGCTCTTAAAAATCTCCAATGACTGAGATTCCACAACCCCCCAAGGGTTATTATTCCAGTTCTTAACTACCCTGACTGTTAGGAAGTTTTTCCTAATGTCCAACCTAAACTGCCCTTGCTGCAATTTAAGACCATTGCTGCTTGTCCTATCTTCAGAGGTTAATGAGAATAATTTACCTCCTTCCTGCTTGTAACAACCCTTTATGTACTTGAAAACTGTTATGTCCCCTCTGTCTTCTCTTCTCCAGACTAAACAAACCCAATTTTTTCAATCTTCCCTCATAGATCATGTTTTCTGGACCTTTAATTATTTTGATTGCTCTTCTCTGGACTTTCTTCAGTTTGTCCACATCTTTCCTGAAATGTGGCACCCAGAACTGGACACAGTATTCCAGTTGAGTCCTAATCAGCGCAGAGTACAGCGGAAGAATGATTTCTTATGTCTTGCTTACAACACTCCTGCTAATACATCCCAGAATGATGTTTGCTTTTTTTGCAACAGTGTTACACTGTTGACTCATATTTAGCTTGTGATCCACTCTGACCCCCAGATCCCGTTCTGCCGTACTCTTCCCTAGGCAGTCATTTCCCATTTTGTATGTGTGCAACTGATTGTTCCCTGCTAAGTGGAGTACTTTGCATTTGTCCTTATTGAATTTCATCCTCTTTACTTCAGACCATTTCTTCAGTTTGTCCAGATCATTTTGAATTTTAATCCTATCCTCCAAAGCTCTTGCAACCCCTCCCAGCTTGGTATCATCTACAGACTTTATAAGTGTACTCTCTATGCCATTATCTAAATCTTTGATGAAGGTATTGAACAGAACTTGACCCAGAACTGATCCCTGTGGGACACCATTCGTTATGCCCTTCCAGCTTGACACTGCACCACTGATAACTAGTCTCTGGGAATGGTTTTTCAGCCAGTTATGCACCCGTCTTACAGTAGTTCCATCTAGGTTGTATTTCCCTAGTTTGTTTATGAGAAGGTCATTCAAGACAGTATCAAAAGCCTTACTAAAGTCAAGTATACCACATCTGTACTGCTTCCCTCCTATCCACAAGGCTTGTTACCCTGTCTAAAAAAACTATTAGATTGGTTTGACAAGATTTATTCTTGACAAATCCATGCTGATTGTTACTTATTACCTTATTATCTTCTAGTTATTTTGCAAATTGATTGCTTAATTATTATCTTTCTAGGTACAGAAGTTAAGCTGACTGATCTGTAATTGCCCGGGTTGTTCTTATTCCCCTTTTTATAGTTTGCCCTTTTCTGATCCTTTGGAATCTCTCCTATTTTCCATGACTTTTCAAAGATAATTGCTAATGGATCAGATATCCCCTCAGTCAGCTCCTGAATATTCTAGGATGCATTTCATCAGGTCCTGGTGACTTGAAGATATCTAACTTGTCTAAGTAATTTTTAACTTGTTCTTTCCCTATTTTAGCCTCTGATCTTACCTCATTTTCACTGGCATTCACTATGTTAGAAGCCAGTTGCTACTAACCTGTAATGGGAGACTGGGAAAAATTGGACGACACTGTAAAAATTTTTAAAAGCTCGCTCTCTCTCTCTCTCTCTCTCTCTCTCTCTCTCTCTCTCTTTTATAACTTCCAATACTTGAAAAATATTTGTTCTGTGAAACTGGTATTTGGGGTGGGGGGTGGGGAATTGAAATCCTGGCCCCATTAAAGTCAAAGGCAGAATCCCCAATGACTTCAGCGGGGCCAGGATTTAACCCACAATGTCCTACCTAGAATTCAACAAGATCGTTTCCAGAGGGAAATGTTAGTCCTGTGAGAAGTTAAATATGTGTGTGTAAAATAAGTCTTGGTTGCAAGCTTAATTGTCGTGGCCTGTATTATACATCTGACTTACAACTGACATGCAGACACCTCTCGGGGGGAAACATTGCAAAAGTCTAACTTTGTACCATAAGAGAACAAAACACTTTGGGACAGGAATATGGCAAGAATTCCATAATCATTTGCAATTGTAGGTGGAATTTTGCTAGGGAAATTGGAAAATGTCTAGAACACGGGGGCTAAAATACCTACTTTTCACAAGTCCTCAGAACATTGGTTTTATGTCTCATCCAAAAGACACTTATAACAACACAGTGTTTCTTCACATGTTGGGACATGAGTTGTGAACCAGAGGGAGGAGTACTACCTACTGAATCACCAGTGTCAATTCGTGCATCACCTAGGTTTTCCATGAGGGGAAGAGGGTCTCCCCTGTTGAAATACTGCTAGGTTTTGTTTACCTTTTAGATGTGTCGAGGGCACAGTCAGATGTAGTATGTTGCAGCTGAAATCTAGTTATGGTATCCTTTCTGGACAGCACATGGATAATAAATACACAGTCTTTTACAAAATGTATAGAGAATTGTATTGTATTTGTAGCTGGATTTATGTGAGTGACCAAAGCTTTTTGGCAGGTAACTGAACACTCAGCCAGTTTATATTTTCCTATGTTTTCTGCTGGGCTGCATTATGAGCGAATTAGGGCTGCGTGTCTTGCCTGGGCTGCAATTTCACCATTCTGTTGCTTCTCTTTAAATATAAAAGGACAAATACTAACCGTCCTTTCAGGGTGTGTGGGAAAAGAGGCAACTAGAAGGGTAACTGGGGAGAGAGTTGTGGCATCTTGCTTCCAGGCACTCTGTAATTCATGGTATTGCATAACATTATATTGGGTGGAGCTTGAGGTAAATACCATGGGCTATGTGCTTTAGTGCAGACCATACCAATCCATTTGCAGCCCCTTTATACACCCTTCCTGTTGCTTCTCTTAGCTGTAATTTGTATGCGTAGTTGCAGAGGGCTCCTTGTCATTGGAATACAGACTCAAAATATATATAACCATTTTGAAAACAGTGTTAATTTGCACATATCTGGGGAAGAAATCTGAAGAAAATCAGAATTTGGCCCAAAGAATATTATGCTCTATTGTCTAAAATAAACAGTTGCTGTTAAAATGACTCATTGTTAGTAATTTAAAGAGTATTTTTTGAAAAAGTTAGTCTAAAATTACATAGCCTTCACATTACCTTGATGAAAGTAATGTTCTAATGTATTGTTTGGATTGCAGACATATAGTTACAAACTTAATAGTCACATCCTGCATTCTTCCAATTAGTGGCAAATCTGCCATTAATTGCAAGAGAACCTCTGATTTTCAGGCAAGACCACATCATAGATGTTAACCTTCTCCCCCCTACCCGCTAAAATACACTTTTGCTGTTATAAAGTGCAGATTACTTTCAGATTCACCCCCTCAGACTCTGGTCACTAAATTTAGCATGCCATATTTTTCAACTTTCTCTTTGAGTAACAACTTGATAAATCTCCTCATCATCCGATGGCAAATGATTTATTGAGGTTTGCTGCATAATTAATATTACAGCTCATGTGGTGAGTGGTAGAATCCTGAAATATCTTCTGTGGCTTAGCCTGTATAGTAGAAGGAGAAGGTTGGGGAAGAGAAAAGGATAATCCTGTGATAGGGGAAGGATAGTTTTGTGACTTAAGCATAGGAATGAGAGTCAGGAAATGTGGGTTTTATTCCCAGCTCTGTCACTGCTTCCTGTCTGGCTTTGGGCAAGTCATTGCAGCTTTCTTTGCCTCAGTTGATCATGCTGTAAAATAGTCATGATAATACTTCCTGACCTCACAGGGTTGTGTGATGCTTAGTTTGCCCAGGCATTTAAATTACTTTGAAGTGCTATAGAAGCGCCAACTGTTGTTTGTTAGAATTAATGGACACTGGTTACTTTGCCTGTTCATTGAGTAGCACTTACTCACACAAGTCATACTATTGGATATATGGAATCTATAAGAAATGAGAATTAAAGTAAGATGACAGTTGTCTGACAGACTGAAAAAAAATCAAAGAAAATGCCAGGAAAGGTTGATGTCTCCCTGAATATTTGTCCTTTACCTCTTCTTGCAGGTTGCATGTCTTACCCATATAGCAGCTAATTACCTTAATTGCAAAATGGAAGCAAAGCGGTGGGGTACTGCTCATGGCAGTATTGTTCCTTATCAGGTAAGCAGATAACAGAGGATGTATTTTGTGCTTGTAATCTGTGGTTTTGTATAAAATGGTATTGGGAAATGATTTACTCTTGCTGTGACAGTGTTCTGTAATGCATCAGTATCTGGCTAGAACAAGGCTTTGTTGTTCATTTTAGATTTTGCATATTTCTTCATCAGTGGTAGATTAGTAACAGGACACTGAAAAAGATCAAAGGTGTCTGCTGAAATTGTATGACTTTAAAGCTTGATTGTTTTTCACCTGAGAGAGGCACTGAGTACAGCTATTTAAAAGAAAAAAAAAGATGATTTGTATTGCTTGCTAATTATTGAACCAAACTTTATCACCACTGAATGCCAGTATCTTTTCCTTGTGTCTCTGTATGAGTGATATGAATGGGTTAGGGTGGTCCAAAGGTCCCACAGCATTTAGGTAGCTTCCACTGACTTTGGTAACAGCTTCTCTTATCTTGTGTGTGTTTTGAGGGGGTGGGGGAAGAGGAATAAAAGCCCACGTGTGGCATTTTTTTTATTGGGAGTTCAGAAGCTGCTGGTATTTTGCTAGTGGTTGAAGATACTTGGAATAACACGATTCCATTTACATAAATGAGCACACTCTGATCTTTTTAAGAATTGCATCTGTCCAGTGCTGAGAACTCTGCCAGTAATCACAGAATAACCATTTGCTAGCAGATTATTTTCTTGTAGGGTGACCAGATGTCCCGATTTTATAGGGACAGTCGCGATTTTTGTGTCTTTTTCTTATATAGGCTCCTATTACCCTCCCACCCCCTGTCCCGATTTTTCACATTTGCTGTCTGGTCACCCTATTTACTTGTCTTGGTGGCAGTACTAATGTGAAGATCAGCACTTAAATTTAATAAAAAGGATCTGCTGTCTGGGAACAAATCCTGTGGTTAAAGTGTGACTGTAGATGCACTGAGTGCTTGCGTGGGCTTGAATGGTAAGACTTTTCCCTGCACTCATCCACTGCAAATGGAAAATTTAAAAATATAAATACAGGGATTTTTTTTTTATGGATAAATCAATCTATATATCAGTACAGCATTAGTACATCCATCTGTATTTTATAGAGCTAGGCCAAACCCGTAACTTTTGATCCAACCTGTTCTGAACTTCAGTTCATTTTGCTATGGGTTGGGTTAAACCTCATCGATACTGGGCAGTGTAACTACCACCCTTCATTTAGGATAGTTGTAAGAAGCCAATAAGCTCCTTTAGGTAACCAGGTAGCTGAAATAGTAGAGGCCTCCATTCTCAAAGACGGGCATATATCACAGCCTAAAACAAAGGCATGTGCAAGGCACAGATGGGTGGAGAGGTTTTGCTGGCTATTGTGAAGGTGGTATGTCTGTGAGAGGGATGGTAGAAAGAGCAGAGATGCTGAGAGACAAGGTAGCATCAGATGAAGCCTGAACGAGCACTGGGAGCATGGCCCTGAGAAAAGCTAAGAGAGGGAGCTTTTGGGTAGAGTTCTGGTGAAAACGGGCTTGGAGCCATGAGTAAAGAAACGGTCTTTTGTTGTTTGATTTCTTTGGTGTTCAGGAAAACAGGACTTTGTACATTCTTTTAAAATAAAAAGTATCGCATCAAAGAAACACCTGACTCCATCATCATTTTCTCCTCCTAACTGGAAAAAAACCTGCAAAACCCAAGCCTCTCGGGTCAAAGAGGGTAGCAGATAAAAACAAAAACCTGATCCAGATGACACTGGGTTTACTTAAGTAAAACCAAAACCTGACTACCTAAAACATTTTCTTTACCCTCCTGAGCTAGGATACTTTGGATAAAATGGAACTTGGATCCATTCACCTAGTTTTGCTCTTGCTTTTGCACAACCAAAACCTAACTGAGATCTTGAAAAAGAAACACACAAACATGGCTACAGAGCATGAAGACTTAAGAGAAGTTTTATTACCCCTCTTCACAGAGTTAATCTATTTAGGATGCAGTGATCATAGGATAAATATGGATTTTGTTTAAATCTAGTCTAAAATATTAGTGGAAGAGTTATATTCTGGTCTACTTTCAATTTTTAAAAAGTATTTGGGGAATGTTCTTGTGGATTGACTGTATAATTATAAATAATATAATATTATAAGAAATCTTAATCTAATTAGAGTTCTCTATTTTTTGAGCTAGTAATTTTGGTGGGAGTGCTGTGGTTTTCCAGTGCTTTGGATGGATCATCTGCTAACTTTCCATTAGTGAACAACTATGGTTGTAACCATGAGAATTTTTACTTTCTAGAACTTTCCTTTGCATTTATATGGCTCCTTCCAGCCAAGGATTTCAAAGTGCTTTAGAAATATTAATTAATTATGCTTCTCAGCACTGCTGCGAGGTAAATTTTATTGCATATTATTTACAGATGGATACACTGAGACACAGGGAGGTTAAGTGACCCAGATTACACAGGTAATTAGAGCAGAGCTTGGAGTAGAACGCCAGAACCTGGATTTTTGGTCCCCAGTCTTAACTATTAGAAATATTGCCTTTCACTTCCTAGAATAATATGCAAAGTTTTGAAATGTTAATCCTTCCAGAGAAATGTTTGTTTTCAAACATTTTGAGCTAATTAAATATAACTTGGTCAAATAATAAAAAGGCCATTTCAGAAAATTTCATTCTGTTTCAGAAAATCTGTTTTTTTTTCCTTGGGACAGTGGACTTTTTAAAAAATTTGGCATATGTGAGTCTTCAGACAGGCAGTAAATTACAAGTTTGAAGTGATGTGGCGTTTGCTACAGTACTTTAAAAATGTCAAAATGTTAAATCATGGCAGATTAGGTAACCTTGGGAGTCTCTCTTTCAACAGATGTTGAGGATTTTAAAAAGCCAAAATGTAAACAATTTACAACATCTGCATCTCTATGCGTGACAGAATTCTGACCACAATCACATCACAGTATTGACCAAAGCAAGCAGTATTTAATTAGAACATTTGAACGTGCATGTAATTAGCAAGTGTATTTGTGTTAATTGATGCCTGTGTATTCTAGGGCTTCTTCGATGAATGCATTCAGCTGTGTGTATCAAGTGTCCTCTTGATTCCTATTTCATTAGCCTGAAATCTCATGATTTTGGCCTGAGTATTCTTTGTCAGTGGTTTATTTGTTCCTATGTAGAGGGCCAAATTTTACTCTGAGTATGCCTGTGCAATCCTACTTCATTCAGAAGAGTGCTGAATTGTAACTCAGGCCATAATTTGACCCCAATGTGTGGTTTAAAAAAACAACAACCTTTCCCAATTATAATATATGAATAGACAATATTGTGTTATAATGTATGGTCTTCTAATTCTCAAACACAAGGTTGTTATAAATTTCTTCATAGTTCAATTCAATACAATTGAATGATTCACTTATTAACGACAGTGCTCATTAGCATACATCAAAATTATTCCTGGGAGCTAAAGAAGCGAGAGGCTTAGCTTTTCTCTTCTAAGCATGTTTTATCATTATGAGTAGTTTGATTGGGAAATATCTGGTAGGTCTTGATGGGTATAATATAGGAAATAGAGGTGAAAAGGAAAGGCATGCTATGTTAAATTTCAGAGCATTAACTCACACACCTCCTTTCAGCCACTAATGAGATTTGGATGTTGATAGAAATGCTCCTGTAGTTCAAAAGGCAAAATGGTCTCTATTAAGGACAAGATAGTTCAGGCAGTGAGAGGTTTTTAAAACCACAGGTCACCCCCAAAGCTGAAAATAAAGGGCCCAGTCCTCACGTGATTTGACCCAGAGGTTTTTGTTTAGAGCCTTACAAGAAACCATGTTTGGCCTCTGAATGATTAACTTAATTTGTTTCAATTTTCATTTACCAAAGAGGAAGAGGGAGCAAAGGTGTTGGGAGGTAGGAAATATCAGCTGGATTTTTTTTTTTTAAGTTGTATGTTTAAAACAATACATAAAAATTTTCAAAAATGATCTTAAGGTTCAAAAATCATTTTTATCTAATGAAACTATGCTTACATTTTACATTTTTTGTTGTGAATAAAGAATCCTTTCATGTTTTTTACTTGCATTAATGATCAACTAGGTAGAAAAGTGGGTGGCATCCAAAATTTGCTCCCTTCCTGGACTTCTTTTTTTTCTTCTGTGGGTTTTTGTTCGTTTGTTTTAAATGTCCTATTAAAAATAAGCTATTCTATAGCAAGAGCTATAACATTTTTGAAGTCCCAGTTCCCAGATTGGGCCACAAATCTATAACAAAACAGAGGGCAAGAATGTTGCGACTTTTCTGAGTGGACATTGGTCAGTCTAGATGGGATTTTACTCGCATAATTTGCACAGACAACAAGTGACCAATACAAGTGCACAGTTTGAGGGCAAACACATGTTGCCTTAAGGTTCCTCAGTTATTTGTCCCTTTTGAGACCAGTTTGAGTATCTAATCTCCGTCTTGCTTGCGTGCTGTCCACCGGCATCTTTATGGAACGGCTCTCTGAGCTCCTCTTCTGCTAACGGTCCCTCTCAAGGTGCTAGTGAGGCTCTCAATTATGTTTGTTTAAATACTGATTTTATAATGCTAATCTGGAACCCTAGTCTCTCCACAGCTATTGAAGTGACAATACTGCAGACAAAAATTAAGATAATGACCAAGCTTATGGCGCTGCCAACACTCCAGTATTAGTATAAAGCCAGCAGACAATCCAAATAATAATCTTGAATCAAACCCTTCATTTGCTGCTCCTTGATCCACTTTAACAGCTTGCAAAATGAGGTGCATTTTACAGTGTACCAAGAAGACTAAAAAAATGCAGTCTTTAGTGGACCAAGGAGGGAAGTGAATTCCAAAGTTGCGAGGGCCCTTCCTTGGGAATGCTTTGCCATGAGCCCTCTCCCATTTAAACTGATGGGGTTCCAATTTGAACACCTTCATTGATCAGTACTGCAATAATATTTTATGGAGAGAGACTGTCTCTCAGGTGACTAGGTTCTAAGCCAGTGGTGAGCAACGTGCTGCCCATCATGGTAATCTGATTGC